AGGTGGTGGACGGTCCAATTCAGGCAACGTTAATGCTGCATGCAGAACTGCGGATGCCTGCTTGGCACGGGTGCCATCCTCTGCACTGCTGACACAGTCAATAATTGGAGTGACTAACTCCATTTTGGACATGATCCCAACCCAAAATTCAATAACAGGAGGATTACACACAATGAAGACATATTTTAGAGGTCAATCCTCTTCCAGACCTCCTTCCCCTCCGAAGGAATTCCTTGTCCAGAGCCTTAATATAACAATTTGAAGAGGGATCGACTTGAAAACAAAGACAGAAGGGGAAGGTCAAAGCTTTAGGACTTACTCTGTTGAAGGAATTCAAAACCCTAATCAACAAATAGAGTCTCAAAAGCAGAATGATCGAGATGAGAATTTTATCTTTTTTAAAGCTGTTAAAAATCACAAGCACCAATAAATCCAACTTAACCCAAGAAACAGAGGTAACAAATTGCTCTCTCAACGTATGTCAGCTTACTAAACTAGTCAAAAGTTGCCAAAACTCATCTTGCTTGTAGAAACACTCACTTCGGCAGCATCCTTCCTCAGGGAGGTCTATCTAATCACTTCAGAAACGACTTCTTCCAGACAATAAAGGACGATCAGATTACTTCATTAAAGCACTGATCATCTCGTACCCAAAACGACAGAACACGGAATCTAAAATAGACAGATTTATCCAGGCTCCCTGGTCCTCATTACGCTTTGATTTCAATCAATTGCACGCACCCGTCAAGTAAAGAGCAATAAATTACAACCATGTGTTTGAAGAAATTATCTTCACAATATTGGAAGTGGAGAGCCAAGGCTCTAACCAAACGGTGTAAGATGTGAGACGTCCATCTGGGAATAATAACCAGCTGAACAAAAACATGCCAGGGCATTAGCTTCAGGCAGTGTCTGAGTTAAACCTGGCAGCAGGAGATCAAACTTAAGCAGTTGTTTTTTGGGAGACTGACATGCATTTTTGTAGGGCAGATAACTAAGAAATATGCTGGTTTAACATATTTACCAGAGAGTGAATTAAAACCTAGTACGCCTCCTCTTTGACCCAAGTAGACATCAACACGTCTCCAGAAATAAAAGCTGCGCAAGCCTGGCCATACTTTGAAATAGTTTGCATTTAAACAGGCACTCGCAGGAAGTAACTCTGCACTGGTTAGGAAGCACTGACGATCCAGTGGCCCAGCAAAGCTTTTCTTCGTAAACTTTCAAGGCTTTGAAGCAACTCCACGTGATGCTATGAAATTTCTCCACACTTGCTTTCATACTGCAGTTGCTGAGTGCGCTGGCCTGTAAGTTCTGGGGGACAAACCTCAGAGACTGGTCACCAGCGAGCAAATCTGAATGGGATTATTTTATACCAATTGTTAACAAATACCGACCAGGCTGTTTCCCTCAAACACCCACACTAGCAGGTGTCAACTCCCTTGGGAAATGGCAAATACACGCTGATGACTCACTAAATGTAGGTGGATACTTGCTGCACCTGATTAAAACAGAAACCTGAAAAGGAATGGTATGTGGGCCAAATGAGACTCACACAAGGGAAAGCTGAAAGTATTTGAAGTTTTGCAAAAAAGCCCGAGATGAACTTTGTGAGGTATTACCCCTTAATGCACATAAGGGTAAAAAGTGAGTTAATCAAGAGGACACTTGAACCTAATGCTGGCAGCAGAGTGAGAAGAGCACCTGCTCTCAAAAGCACTTCTTTTTCATTAGAAAGTAAGGATCTTCCTCTTCCACTCCCCAGCGCAATGCCCGGTATAAGACGCATTTTAAATCCGGGTAGTGAAGCAAGCACCATGCGGAGCAACATCTCAGAAACAAGGGCTTACAAGGTATTCATTCAGGCCAGGGCAGGAAATGCCCTTATCGCCTTATTTTTCTGGCTGGTCTTTTGTCTCAGGCAAAAGACTTTTACATCCCGTCACAATCACCTATTGCCAGTTTTCACTGGAGTGGGAATTACAATCTAAAGTTTAAGTTGAGAATCCCTCAGTCCCCAACTGTAAGCTATCATTCAACGTAAAAGAAAGCAAGCACATTGCAGGGCTTTGCTTAACTTTGCTTACTTGCCCACAAACTGCTTTCAAAAACCCAGTGCAAACCATCGTTACAGGAATAAAACATCTAACAGCCTAGGAAATTCAAGTTCATGAGGGTCCAGCGTTCTCTGTGAATGCTTCCATAAGCTTGCTTATCTGTTTCCTCTCTGGCACAAAACATAACACAACTGTTAGAGGTGCACTTCAAGAATATTCTCTGCCCTGTACAGAGAGGGACAGAACTGCCTCTGATGAGATTTTTTTTTTTTTTTTAAACAACGAGAATCTGGTATGTCACATCAGAGGCTTCTCTGTCAGTAGTTTTCATCTTCTTAAGCCGCAATGCAACCTGAAAGCCTAACAGTGCAACAACTGCTGCACTTGTGTTCACATTTTTTAAGAAGGAACTTGTAACACAAGGTACAGATTAGATGGGTCACCTGCAAACAAAATTAACATCGTTACTAGAAGGTGGATTTGTTAGAAATCTTCCCAAATGACAGAAATCCTAATTGCAGCAGAAGATACAATATAGAAGCAGCAGCAGAAGACACAGTATAGAAGACTGCCAGGATACTACTTTTTTTTCTTGATTAATACACCAAGATTTTTGAACGAGTCTGAAATATCTTGCAATGCTAGAAAGTCTCTGTTACCAGCTCTGGAATTTAAAACTACACCCATACTTTGGACTGGAACTGATGCACCATTTACTCCTTTCCCAGTGCTGCAAGCTGCCAGACCAGAAGGCCAGCGACACCTTTAATCGACACCACATGAACCAGATCTACTTCTGGCTTTACAGTGGGTACACAGTACTAGTTTCCAGCCCTAGCAGCCCACGGAAATTACTTACACCACTGCAATTGCCATCTTGTTCCCGCTACAACCTTCCCCACACTGAGACTCCCACATGATTTCAGCAGCTGTTATGCTGGTAATTGTTACAGTAATTCCCAACCTGATAGGTTGGCAAGACCAGCAAGCAGCAGAGAGAAAAGCTGGCGCTCGTTATCCCCACCTCGTTTTTCCCATCCTATCTCCAAGTCAAAGGTAAGCTTTCACTGTCAAAATCCCAGATCCAACGAGTCCAACCCCTAGAACAAAAGCATGATTCTATCCAGCGCTTTGTTGTTGGTAAAGTACACATCATTCCCAATTTCAAGCATGAGGAACCCATCAAATGGTCAGCTTAGGTTTCCCCAACTTTGCAAATTCTTTCCAAACCTACCAGAATTTTTGCACAACTCAAAGTGTAAGCCATCTTCTCTTCTTTTTCTGACACATTTTTGAGATCATAACATTCATCGAAGCATACTGTGCTCACAGATGCTCTTACCTAGTCTGACTACGCTGCAAGTCAATGCCTCAGTCACTTCTGGCTGATGACACAAGAACGATTTCTCTTTGCGAGAAATCCCTCCCGTATCCCTTCTCACAAGGCATCACTTATAACAAATAGGTTGGACACCTCAAAAGATGAAATTTGATACAATTCAATCTCTCCTTTTACTTCTGAACATTTTATGTGCTGCACTTGGCTTCCTGCAAACGAAACTTATTTAAAAGAGTTATTGTATCCGATCGTGACTTCACGGGCATCTGATCAGAGAGGGATTCAAAAAAAGACAACCATAGTTCCATAAACCTATTCATTTCCACGTATAAAAACTTCTAGTCCCGGTCTGTTCTTCTGCACCTGGGGAGTAACTGCAAACCTCTCTTTGCTGCATTCTCTCTTTCATTCTCTCAGTGAACTCAGATACCTATTAACAACTGCCGCTTACAAAACAAGTGGGCTACCTATACAAATAATACATGAAAATAAAGTAAAAATTTGATACTTCTAGCAAAAGCATCACTACCAAATATGTACACAGAAAATATTTACGTCGAGTCACATTATAAAATGAGGAGAAAAGCCAGCAAGAAATAAAACTATTCTACCTGCAGTTTTCAATGCTAAAATAGTATAAGTTTCAGCAGTGATACATGAAGAACTACATCTAAGGATGCGTTTTATCTCAAATCTGGGACAACATGAAGCAGCAGTGAGGTCTGCTCACCTTTTCTAAGGTTATCAGGGATCTCTAACACGAAAGCACCCCTTTATCGGATAAAGCAACAAGTTTCAGTTTGCAACACACTTGTGCTGGCTGGATTTAGCAACATTATTATTTCCATCCCGTTACTGCTTAAGAGACCACACACTATATGGGAGACAGCTAAACCTGATGATATTGTGAGGCCTCAGATGTGAATGGATTGCAAGAGCCAGCAGTCTCAGCTTTTAGAAAAATTCTTTGATTGGAAAGTCACCTGGACAGCGTGCTATTGCAGCTTTAAAAGGACACTGCCTAATGAACATTTTTCTTGCATTTGCTCTGTTAACTCCTTTGCTTTATGCCTAACAAGAGAGGGCCTACAACATAAGCACCAGAGAATGGCCTTTGCAACAGAAGCACGTTAATCCCCATATAACTGCTGCATTTCCTTATACTAGCATGTATCACTTTACAGGAGGATGTGAAAGTTGCTGCTTTTTTTTCTTTTTTTCTTTTGAGAGAAGCTACAATCTTGAGGGAATGGGGAAAGCAGATGGTTTAAAAATGAACTTAGCCAAGATCAAAGAGAACACAGGTCATTTCAGGACAAAGATGCCATTAATCTGCCAAAGGGGGGAGGGAGGCAGGAAAGCACTTCAACATCTGCCTTTGGAATCAGCTGACAAATTTGATCATATTTTCATTTAGTGAAATCACAGTGGATTCATTCACCAAGAGTAGATCAGCCGCTGCCAACCCTTCTTCCTCAGCTATACCTTGGTATGCCCCTCTCAAAGGCAGCTAGCGACCGCGTTTTAGACTCGTCACGTGTATTGCATGCCTGCCGAACGAAACAAAAGAAGGCAGAGGGCTCTGTAGGGTAGAACTGACATACAAGTCTCTGTACTGGTCAAAGGCATTGTTGGCTTCCACCTCCAGCTTGCGCAGGCGAGCAGATGGCATGGCACCGTCTTCCAAGGGAGGATCATATTTGTTACTCCAGGGTGATCTGCCGAGGAGACAAGGAAAACAGAGACGTTTAGACAACGAAGGCAAACTCTGAAAGGTTGGAGAACGGTGGGTCTGACCTGATCTGCAGATGCTGAACCTGCCAAAACAAAGTCAATCTATAAGAATCTCACCATAAACAGTCGCTACAAACTCTGACAAAAGGAGAGACTGACTCCTTAAATTTTATGGGGCACCTGGGGGTCATCCCCTGCCTTCAGGTTTCCATTTTATGAATCATCATGCTTGGGTTTGAATTTGTTCCGTTCTTTCTTAAATATTCAAAGATGAGGCCTTAGCTGTCACACATTACGTATTTAAAATAATTTTCACGCAAATACAGATAGATTGGGTAGTTTGTCCGGGATTTGACAATATTTGAGCCAGACATTGTCGTCTACTATTAAGGTCCAAGTTCTTCTCCACTATTTTAAAACAAATCTACTTTCAGCGCGGCATTAGGAAAACACTTGAACAGTTAGAAGGATTTAACAGGCTATGTAAAGCTGAAGTTTTTACTATTAATTTCTGCAGGTGTCAAAGAGATTTGGGGCTCTTAATGAAAGATTTGGTATTAAAGGGCTAATGGAACCCTCTGCCCATCTGCTTGAGACTTTTATAATTCCCATTCTATAAACCTACGTTCTCCTTTTCATTTCCCCTGTGCATAACCCACCTACATATATCACTGCTAGTCTAAAAAAGGGTACCACTAGCCTTTGCCTACTCGCTTTTCAAAATACCCTAGTCTGCTAACACTAGGTCTTAATGCAGTCCATACGTAATGGCTTTTTCCTCCGTAGCCATTTGTTATTCATTTCTCAGAAAGGCGTCTAGTTTTGACATCTGTTTAATGCCAAGCACGGAGAACAGGCTCTGCTTCGTTCTAGCCTTGTGCTTCCACGACACTTCCCTCCCCTCACAGCCCTCCCCACGTTTGACTCAAAAGGTGAGACACCAGGAAAAGCTAAATCATTATGTCACATCCACCTAGGGCAATGTTTTTCAGGCAGGAGTTCCTATTTTAAAACAGTTGCAAAAAACTCGGTTGCTTTGGAGAAGAGTAGACGGCTACAGTAGTACTCACTTACCTAACATTTCTCTTAAATCTGGAAGAGACTCACACAACAATCGCCCCCCCAGTGCTATCTGCAGGATTCCCAAACCCAACACCTACGCACATCAGGCAGTACAAACAAGAACCAAACCCGCTGAAGAAATTCAGGCAGATAGCACATTGACCTTTCTATCAGGAAGTCTGTGAAAATAACGGCAGGGTTTATAGACGGTGCAATGCAGAAGCATACTACTCAATCAGTAGTGTTCATACGACGCCCTTGGTTTTTCCTTCCTCTTCTACTACTAAATAAAAAAAGGCAGATTTCAAAAAAAAACCTGCTGTGTTCTGGAAATGCAAAAGCCTTTGTACTTCTCCATCAGGTACAAGGAAATTGGTGAACAGGGAATCCACGCAGAAGAGAAGGTAGAGATGATTTTCACTGTAAACGTTAGATCTTTTACAGGCTGCAGGAACGGCATTTAAGAGAAGCCCAGTAATGTACATTCTTCTAGCTTGCAGATCGTGGCATTTTCAACTCATTACAGCTGGAGCCAGCAGCAACTTTACCTAAAGAAATTCATAACACTCCCCCATTTTTTTTTCTTTTTGTAGAAGAGTACTCAGAACATGTTTAAAAGCTTAAACAGTGGCTATTTGAAGAAAGACAGATGGACTAGAGCACTTATAATTTCAAAAGTTAGGCCTCTAATTTCCCTAAAAGAGAATGTTTTTTGTTTCAGCTAACAGGTTTCAAGCCATGTTGCTGGCACCAAATTCCCCATAAGGATTCCATTTAATAGAGTGATCAAACGTAGTCAGAATGGAAAGAGTCAGAGACCCTGAAGCCTTATATCAATATCAAAAAATTTAAAAAGCTCCTGCTTTCACACCGCAGATTCCTCTGCTGTTTGATACCGCCCACAAACTTTTGTTATTGCAGGAACTCTGTTCTCAAAACGTGCACAAAAGGCTGCTCTCGCAAGCAGTGGCATGACAGTTTGAAGAAACTGAAAACTATCAGTTGATGAAGACCCAAGAGAGACTCCAAAACGTACCTTTTGGACTGATCCGTGTTCAACGTGAAGAAAATAAAGCCTACCTAAATACAAAGAAGGGAATAAACTGCGATAAGCTAAAAGCAACTGCTAAGCACTGGCGAAGGTCCCAGGATATTCATTTCCCTATATGATGCTCTGCAAAACACGTAAAGTTATTACCAGCCCAGCTGAACATCCCACAGTCTTTTTTCAAAGCTAACTCCCAGTCCAATGGAAAGCCACTCTTATCAAGATAAAAACTACAGAACGTGGTCCCCAGTGAGAAGGTCTGACTACCTTTCTCGCAGAAGTAGTACGAGGCTCAGTCGTCTGCAGAACGCTTTGAAATCTTTGGATAAGAGAGCACAAATTCGTATTAAAAGGCAGAACAAACGCAATTAGCCACCTCTCCGATAAGAAGGAAGTTTAGGTCTTGTTTGAAGCACACAGTAATTTGGGATGTAGCATTTTACAGGCAGGGAATATTTCTTGCGATTTTTGATCTAGCACGCGGTTCTGAAAAACTGTGGAAATATCAAAAGCTCTTAAAGGCATGTTAAACTCCTCTTAGGTTCTGGCCTAATTGATTAAATTAGTACAAGAGCCACTTCCCTATAACAACTTCAGTTTTTATGAGGTAAGAATAAGAGTGTCGGAAAACAGGCACAGAACGGGATTAACACGTGCACATGTTCGGGGTTTTTTGTTTTGTTTTGTTTTCAAAAGCATTTGCTCTGTGTTGAAGGAATGAAGTAAATTCTTTCTTGAAATAGAACTGAGGCCAATCAATTCCAGAGGGAAGAACTGCTTCAATCCAGAACCCTTGAGTCAAGTCTTAAAGAAGGAAGGTCTTCTTTAATGCCAAGAATTCATGTGTTAGGGCTATCCTATATGAACAAATAAAATATCTTTTCCGGAATCTTATCACATAGCAGGTCCTGAAATTTTCTAGTTATTATTAAAAATGTACATCTTCCTCCTGCCTTGTAACCATTTCAGTATCCTTTCAGCAAGAAGGAAATTGAGCAAATTTCAGAGGCAAGCATGAAAACTAAGCTTAAAGAAAGAGCTGTCAAATACACTAATTAAAGACAAGGTTGGGGTGGGGGAGCAAGTGTTGTTAGTTATTTCAGCATGTCACAATATTGTTGGACGAGCGCCTTTTCAAGTTTTCCGTGGCTCTGGTTGATAGATGCTCAGCAAGCCTTAGAGACGTATCTTCTGTCAACAGCCTAAACAGGATTCAAGGAGACCGCAAGATTCGTATCGCAACTTCAGTGAGAAAGCATCTCTTAGAGGATCCACAGAAAACACTGTATCTGCGATCTGCTCCCTTCCTTTGCATCTGCCAGAAAGGATGCAGATGTACGCACACGTCATCTTGGGGAAACCAGGAGAAGCTATTAATTCTTTAATCTAGCTGCAAATTTAGAAGTGCTAAAATGCATGCAGCTACTAACATAGACCTGACTAACTCAGACATAAAAGCTTTATGCACAAATACTTTTAAAAAGGATCAGGCCCTTTTTAGAGGGTTCAAAGTTCCCATGTTAGAACAGTCTCCTGAAGAACATCAGTGAATACTTCACCTTGGAGATCTTCTTACTTCCTGGTCCACCACAATAGCGGATATATATTAAAAAAAACTCACCAAGATTTACACAGTCAGCTGCAATTCAGATGCAAACACTTAAACTCTGCATTCATTAAGCAGCCTCCTCCTTCCATTTCTAGGAGGAAACGAATCTCAGCATGTTCACTGTATCAATCATCTACAGACAGATATGCTCTCAGTTTAGATAAGCACCTTTCCTGCACCCTAAAGTGCTTAAAACCAATTAACCTATAACCTTTTATAAACAATTTTCACAAATGGTTGACTGAGGCGCACAACATTAGTTTGTCTAAAATAGGAACGCTATAATACAGGGAAAAAAACTAAATGTCTTACCAGTAGCTATTACCTGCTTCCGCAATGATGAGTCAAAGAAAAAAATTGTTAAATATTTTCTGGAATTCCACCGGGAAACAGAATTCTTGAAACACATTCTGGCCAGATGCGTTTAAATCACTGCTGCAAATCTGCACAAAGCAAAGCTAAATTCTCACTGTAGATCAGTTCCAGTTGTTACCACTAAAACTGTGAGTTATTACACTGAAGGAGCAATGGGAGCCAGGGATGCAACCTATGTAACCACAACCAGAGGAGGCAATATGGCTGACTCTTGTTCAACTTGGGACAGAAGATGAACGGTAGCAGGGACCTGCCCCATAAAATCCATCAGATTAGCAGCCGTGTAACCAGGTTACCTGAAAAGAAGTGTTCTCCAACGACCTAGAGATGATGGAGATGCCTTTTTGCATTAAGGAAATACCAGCTGAGGACTAACTTCCACAGTCAAGGTCTTACCCAAGATAAGAGGATTTGGAACAGTCCCTGCTTCATCAAGTAATAGCATTTAATAATCATCTAATTTTTTTTTCCCTCAGAATAAGAGGGAGAAGGGACTATAACATTAGCACGTAGTTCTGATTTGAGCAGTAAATCGATCAGTTCCTTTCTTTGAATATTAACTCACCTATATGAGTCTCCATCTCTGTTGTAGTCACACAATAGATAGTCTTTTCCTACCACCTTATCTCGAGCAATCTTCAATGGCTGATCAACAGAGGAGAGGAGATCTTCACAGAGGCTTGGGACCTGATGGTTAGGAGGAAAAGAAAAAATAGGGAGGGGAGAGAGGATAATACATTAAGATTAAAGAAGATCTAAGAACAGATTTTGTTAAGAGGAGCCGACATCTGTCCCAAAACCAGGAACTCCAAGGAAAAACAAAACAAAACGCTGCACTTAAGTTACAACACAATCCTATGCCCCCACCTCTAATAATTTCAGATTTAATTACCAAACCACTAGTGTGGTCCAGTAATTTTAAATGCATACACCCTCAGTGTTAGCTTCTTGCCAAAGACGGCCAGTAAAGTGATTGCTGAGGACTGATGAATAAAGGTAAATATTTATAATGGAGTGGAAACTAGGGAACCGCTAAAAGAATGCACCGTCCATACGCTAGAATTTATTTTTCACAAGCCCTGGGTAGAGTTTAGAATAGTTTCCAGGCAGCTGGCCAAACATTACCATGCTGGCTAATAAAAATATATGTGTGCGTGTGAGCATGCGTGCATTTAAAAATCAAACGTCTCCTGCACAGGTAGCTTTTAATGGATTCATAATCCCAGTCGTCTCCCTGCACTTCATCTGCAGAAAGTCCTTGAGCTTTGCTTTTAACATGGCAGAGAAGCTTTGATGTACTACAAAGAGATGAACTGACATTTTGCAGCCTGAAGCTAGGGCGAACGTGAGCACAAGCAAATACAGCAAATTCCAGCTCTCCGGCTCACGCTCTGGAGCTGGCGGCAGCCAAGCTATCGCCATCGATATCCGTGCACGGCAGGCTTTGGCCACGGTAGGTTTACGTCCGTACACGCTAGCAGCTTCCTCCACGCAGGAAGAAGCCTCAACTTGCAAGCAAAGTGGGGAGGAAGACATAAGAAACCTAAGGAAATCTGCTTTCTTCTCTCCCCACCATCGATTCAGTGGTGAAACAGTCGGTATGATCTCAAAATAAACAAATGTAAAGGGAAAAACAAGTTCAGGGCTGCAAGAGCTTCCAAAAGCTGAAGCGCAAACTGTATTAACAACACAAAAGCAGCATAATAAAAAGATCAAGCCTAATCCCAAGTACAGGAAGCCAGCATACAGAAGACTATATTAAGTCAAAGTAAGCAGGCACAAATATAAAACAACATGACCACAAAAGAAAAAAAAAACCACACAGAAAAGCCAAAGGGCAAAACAAGAGGTGACTAGCAAGAGACATAACAGTCAACTCGCACAGTTACCCCATAGGCACATGAAAACTCAGAGGAAAACCAAGAAACTATTGGGAAAGCTACTGAGAGTGTGGAAAAAGCTGAAACGTTAGTATATTTTTTTATTCAGTCAACACACGCCACAACGTGGTACTCAGCGACAACAGGAGAAGAGCTCAGGGTAGAAGAAAGAACAGTGCAATGAGTATTTATGAGTATTTATATAAATCTAGGTGCTTCTCACAGGAGTCCACCATTTGATACTTGGAGACCCGGCTGAAGCAATCTCAGAACCGTTATGCAGTGACTGAATAAATAAAAGCAAAAGGAAACAAGCAGCTTCTAGGAAAACCTTTACTTTTTCTCAAAGCAGACAATTCCAATACTCCACGGAGCTGATGCAAATCAGAAGTGTCATGGCACAAGTTAAGTGAAATGATGCATCTGTGTTCACGAGCCCATCTGGTTCCACTCTGCCTCTTCCTTCACTTCTCTGTTAGCTATTAATTTTAGGCTGGCTATTCGGGCAAAGAGCAACCCGAGATGACCGCTTCAGTTTCAGATGCACATCCAACAAGATCCAAAGTGCTTCACCTTTGAGAGCCACGCTCCGAAAAGGGACCCGTTGAACGTAGTGCATCTTCCCAGCAGTTCTTTGGCCAGCTGCCCAACGCCACCGAGATAAGGGTCTAGAAACAGACTCCTGCCACCCATTTAGATGAGTAATAGCGACGAAAACAGGATTCGGAGAAAAGTGGCATTTTTCCCAGATGCCATTTCTACTGCAATTATCTGGGAAAAGCCTTAGGCTGCTACGCGTCGGGTAAGAGACCAGTAGAGGTCTTCCTGCACAATTCTTCAAACTCAAATACACGTACAGAGTATTTTCAGAAGAACCCCCAAACTTAAGACAACCAAAAGCTGAAGTCAATTCCCCCGCAGAAAAGCTGCTAATTGACATCTAAACTTAAGACCTTTAAAAAAGCCACACAAACGAAGAAGTCCAGCTAGTCAAGAGACTCTTCAGACGATGTAGCAAGCCACTGCCACAAAATAAAAGCGTGCTCGTTTTTATGATGCAGTATATTTAATTTCCACATCATATTGTGGAACTAAAGTTATCTCCGGATGATTTAATAACACAGATGTTCGTAAGCACAGCCACTTCTTCATTTTTTAAGAGCTGTGGCTACTCTTACAGAAGTAATAGTGAATGTACAATATCATACACTTACTATATTATCCTGAATATAATACTATGTTATATTATATACTCATTGTCCTTGGTACAGCCATTCTACAGGACTTCAGGCAAGATGCTCTTTTCCATTTCACTTTCTTTCAGCATAAAACGGGGAAGGAACCCCACTCGTTTACCTAGAGAGTACCAGACAATTTCAGTAACGCCATAAAAACAAAGGGGATATTCCAGCCGATTGAACTACTCATGTAATTCTAATTATCAGCAAAACATCCACGTGTGGCACAGTTACCCCAAGAGAATAATTTTTAGGCCATTTATTACATCAGCTTTCAACAGCTATTGTACTTCCTTTCTAAGAATGGGTTTAAAGGATTTATGCACACTGCTCTTCCCCTTCTACGTCATGAAGCTGCTTATAAGGCGAAGGCAGTAATCCAGACAAAGTAATTTGTACTTTTAAACACCTCAGCAACATGCTCACGGGAATACTCAATTCCTTCTGAATTTAGGCTCTTTGCAATTCAGAATGATAAGATACTTGGCACAGCTAGGCTAAATAAGCAGCTGCAGTGCAACCACTGAGCACTTATTTCACGCTATGCAAGCACCTTTCCTTAAATTCTTCCACATGTCGAGCACTGAGCCTTCTTAAAGCGTTCAAATTACTTCTGTGCACCATCAGACTCTTCAAACTAAGTTTCCTGACCCCTCGTGAAGACCATGCTGCTTAAAAGACCAACTGATCCGTTTGCTTTTGGAGTTTTCAGAGTCTGAACCAGATGAGCTGCACGGTGAACTTTCCCTGCTCACTTGCTCTTTGGTAACTGCAAAGCCAAAAGGTGCGCTGGGTAGGTGCATCTGTCTCTGATAGTCATATAGGGAATTTTGACTCCAATTTACGCACAAGGATTTACCCACTTCCCAGGAGGCCAAATACTGCAATGCTGAAGCAGTGATTTTCTTCGATTTATCACTGCGCTATAAATAAGTGTCACTATGAGAAAAACATTGAACATATGAGTGGTAGTTTTATAAGCAAAGAGCGCTCTCCCCTCTTTATTCTGACACAAGTTTTCCTCTCTCATAAGCAGCGGGAAGGTCAAATGTGGAATATAATCTTAACTTTATATCTTTGGCTAAAGGTCATCAGTAAGTTAATTTGGCTCATAGCACCCTCTATACCCTAATGCACCCGTGTTTCCACAAATAAGCATTCAATCATCTGTTACAGTGGTTGTATATATGGTTATGGAGAGAGACCACCCTCAATGTAAATTAGAGAAGAAGAAAAAGAGAGGAATCCCAGGGGTCCAGACTCAGCTGTTCAGACTGGAACTGAATAGCGGTGCCGTTCAGAAGCACAGACCATGCAACAAGCACTCTGTTTGTGAGGGTTGGTTTTTCCCCCACCCCCCACCCCGAGCAGATATACAATGAACGTGTAGTACAGAAAGAAAAAAAAAAAAACTTGAATGAGAGTGAGTTCAGCATCTTCTACTGCATGTCGAACAAGGATTCTGTTGTCTTGTGTAACAGTATTCCCCATCACAGCAAGCCAGGTATGTGGACAGTGTTTTAATTAAGTCAACTGTTCTGCTATCAAGACAAATAATCATTTGTGCCAAAGCAGAAACTGTACACTTGCTGGACCAGCTAGCCTAATAAACCCGCCTTCGCGACTAGCTCTTTGGTCAGGCAACATCTTATCAACTGAGCAATTGTTTCTGAATCATTTTCTAAAAGATTATTAAATTAACTTCTAAAAAAGCTTAGAGGAAACACAAGAGCAGAAGGTCAGCTCTTTGGGTATCCCATATTTTCCATCTTCGCTTTGAGTGCACTGGTTGAATCGCATCAAGTTCTCCACTTTACCTTGGTGAGGATGCTGGCTTACTAGCCATGCAATTTGAGTACACTAAGGTAACTCTTTCTTACAGCTTTGACTAAAATGAATCATGTTTATAAGCTTACACTAACAGTGTTACTGTTTCAGTTATGTGCTTAGAAATACCTGCTTGTGCATGTTTATTTGGAGTTTGCTTCAAGTGCATGCTCACCTCCACAAGAGCCTCACACACTGGAAAACTATGCTAAATGCAGCAAAATTAAAGATGAAATCCCTCTTTCCTCAAGGGATTAGAAGGATGATTCACTGAAGTACTGTTAGATCGAGTTTAACAGAGTTTCAAAACACTAATACTGCAGGCATGCAGACCCTTTTGGCTTTTGAATGCAGCTGTGCCATGCAGGTATCTGTATACATGTATGACTTGAGCAGCTTTTAAATAAAAACCACATCCAAATAGAAAAAAAATATTTTAATTGCACGTCAATTCTTAAGGCTTTACTTTGTCATTCCACAGCCTCAGAATTTCCTGTTCCTGCAGAACACAGACACGGCTTTAACGGATGTTGTGGGAACTCAAGAAGGAAGCCTGGCTCCACTCATCGTGGGCCTATAACCGCTAGGAAAGTCACCCCCACAAATCCACATGCTGCTAAACCTTAATTTGATCCATCAGATGTCCAAGGGCCACACATTCTTCTCAAGCTTTGTTTATTAAGTGACACTTAAATGGACTTTTGTGCTCCAGACCAGATGTAACTGATATTTGAAAACAGCT